TATATATATTGATTTGTCTGTTTTAAATGTATGTCAAATAATTTTTCTTTCTAGAATAAATAAAGAAGTAAGTAAGTAAGTCACAAGACATAAAGTGGATTCTCGTATTTGGAACACAACCTCAAAGCCTCCAATATCCATCTGTGTGGCTGAGTGAGAAAATAGTGGAACAATGTCCTACAAGAATTGGAGGATTGCCACATATTATGAACAGGAGAAGTTTGGGAAGGAGGGGTGAAGAGTTCAAGCACTCTATTTATTCCCTTCCAAACTCCCTAAAATCTCCCACCTGCCACTGGAGAGGCTCCTTCTGCTCCTCCGCCTGGCTCAGGAGGAAGCCTTCCGCCAGGGCCACTGCCTGGGAGCTGCTCTCTGCTCCACATTCCCGCACCCAGTCCTCCATCTCTGGGGGCAGGAGAGCCAGGAGCCGCTCCAGAACCACCAGGTCCAGCATCTGGGCTTTGCTGTGCTTTCCTGGGCTCAGCCATCGCCTGCACAAGTCATGGAGTCGGCTGCAAAGTCCTCGGGGACCTTCAGCCTCCTGGTATCGGATGAAGGACCAGGGCAGAACTTCTGAAGGGAGGATGGTTCCCTCCTGCAGGACCTTCTGCCTGGTTCTGGTCCAGCTCTCCCCACAGCTGCCAGGCTGAAGAACCGCAGGGCCTTTTCCGCTCCCCTCCTTGGCCAAATGGGGTGTCCGCATCCTTCCTCTCTCCGGCACAGAAGCTCCAAAGGGCTCCAGGGACTCTGGAGGTCTCCAGGGGCCTCTTCCTTCACAGGACCATTTCTGGGGCCGCAGGACAGATCCCTGCTGGTCCTTCCGCTCCCTTCCTTCCTTCCTTCTTTCCTTCCCCTGCAGAGGAAATCCTGTCTTGCAAAGGCTGCCAAGGGCTCCGAGGTTCTGGATCTGGGAGGAAGAGAAACACTGACGCCCAGGATCAGAAAGGGGGATTCAGTCCCTGGACCCCCCTCCCCCAACCTGCCCACAGCCCCAAGCGGCTCTTCCCAGTGCAGGGCCCATCCCATCCCCCCGCAGGGCCGGCGAGGAGGCCGCCGGGGGGGCGGCCCCCCCCCCCCCCCCCCGCTTCTCTCCCCCTCCGCAGACAGGATGTGGCTCCCAGGAGCCCGGTGCGAATCCTGCTGCCTCCTCTTCCTCGCCAGGCTTCTCTTCTCTCCTGCTGAGCCTCCACCAGGCCTGCCCTTCCACCCTTCGCATGGAGAGGGCGGCTGGCGCGCATGGGACTTTGGAAGAGCCCCCCACCACCCCCCACCGCTCACCCGGGACACGTCTGGATGCTCTCTAGCCAGACCCTCCTGCAGCCACTCCGCCTCCTGTGGCGGACCAGGGTTTGAAGAGAGCGATTGCGGCGTCCTAGAGAGGCAAGGCTCAGTGATGTCACTTCCTCTGGAATGCCAGCCATGACGTTCGCCTCCAGTGGCCCAAGAGGGAAGCACCTGTTCCCTTCCCTTGGCCGAGGTTGCCCTCTGGTGGAATTTGGGCGGGAAAGAGGAACGCATCTCAACATCTTTTTTATAGTGTGGTGACCATAACTGGATGCAAAACTCTAGGTGTGGTCTGACTAAGGCTTTATAGAGTGGCATTAGGACCTCACTATTGCGTGGTCACTCTCCCCCAAAGTTCCTGTAACTTCAACCCCATCTATCATTTCATCTCCATTCGTGAGAATTCAATCCAGCATGGTTGACCCTCTAGTTCCCTTCTCTGCTTTGGGGGAGACAAAATTTGTCTGCTAGGAATGTCAGGAATCTGTTTCATCTTCAATTAGCTGCACAGCTTGTCTTCCAGTTGATGTTACTGTGTTACTCACATAAGGCTGGGCCTCATTTTTTTTGACCCCCCCAAAACGGCTAGGCAGTCTTTTCGGGGGGTGACTTAATTCCCCCCCTTGCATCCTTGGGTAGGCGGGCGGCGACAGCTTGGATGTTCGGGAGACCTTCCGCCACCGTTGCTTTCCCTTCTCCCTTGCTACTGCGGTGTTAGAGCAACGCCACAGCATTTGGCGCAGCCACATATGGCCAGTCAGGGCTCCTCCCTGCAACCGGAGCCCCAAGGAGACACTTGGCTTCAGGAGCTCCTGTCGCACAATAGTAATGGGGACTTTACCGTGTTTCTCCAACAATACGGCCTCCACCAATAGGAAGCCCCAGCATGATTTATTGGCATAAAATAAAATTAAGCCCCTCCCCCCAAATTAAGACCTATATTAAAACATGAGAAATGGGGGGGAATGGTGGGGGGGGAGGGGTGGCTTGCCGTTAGGAAGTACTTTGTTGCATGCCCAGAAATGATGCTGCCTGCATTGGTAGGGCACTTCATATCGGGAGACCTTCCACCACCGTTGCTTTCCCTTCTCCTTTGCTGCCGCGGCGTTAGAACAATGCCACAGCGTTTGGCACAGCCACATGTGGCCAGTCAGGGCTCCTCCCTGCAACTGGAGCCCTGAGGAGACACTTGGCTTCCAGCACTCCTGTCGACGCCTTCTCTTTGCCTTCGAAGGTAAAGCGAATTATTTTAAAAACCTCCGCTCATCACACCAGGGCTGCACCGGAGTAGTGCAGACTGGGCAGAGCCGGGAAAGCGAGTCGCGGGTGATTCCTGGCTCTGCCCAGCCCACACGGCTTGGCGCGGCCCTGGCGGGATGAGTGGAGGGCCTGGCGGGGAGGCGCTCACTGCCTTGGTGAGAGCTCTGCTGCCGGAAGGAGGGCCCGCCTGCCTGGCACAGCTGACAGGCGGGCCCTCCTTCCCGTGCAGGCTGGGCAGAGCCAGGAATCACCCGTGGCTCGCTTTCCTGGCTCTGCCCAGCCTGCATGGCTCCGGCACGGCCCTGGTGGGGTGAGCAGAGGTTTTTAAAATAATTCGCTTTACCTTCGAAGGCAAAGGGAAGGCGGCGACAGGAGTGCCTGAAGCCAAGTGTCTCCTCAGGGCTCCAGTTGCAGGGAGGAGCCCTGACTGGCCGCATGTGGCTGCACCAAACGCCATGGCAGCAAAGGAGAAGGGAAAGCAACGGTGGTGGAAGGTCTCCTGATATGAAGTGCCCTACCAATGCAGGCAGCACCATATCCGGGCATGCAACAAAGTACTTCCTACCGGCAAGCCCTCCCCACCATTTCCCCCATTTCGCATGTTTTAATTTAGGCTGTAATTTGGGGGGAGGGGCTTAATTTTATTTTATGCCAATAAATCATGCTGGGGCTTCCTATTCGTGGAGGCCGTATTGTTGGAGAAACACGGTAAAATCCCCCATTACTATTGTGCTAGGCTTCTTATATACCTCAGTTAACCAACTAGCAAAAAGTCCATCTATTTCGTTTGTTTGGTAGGTTGGCCTGTAGCATATACCTCTGGTGCCATGTCATTCTTTGTTCCTTTTATATTGCTTTCAAGGAGATGTTCATCCTTGTTTGAAGCTGTATATTCCACTCATGGGCTTTATCCCACCAATGGCAGTAATGTTACACTTGCTCTCGTGTATTAGGGCAGTGGTGGCTAACCTTTTTGGGCTCCTGTGCCAAAAATTGTGTGCGCACTTGCACGCTCATGTGCTAGCACCCAGAAGGCAATGAGCCCTCCCTGCTACCCCCTACAAATGCATACGCAACCCCCACCCACCTACGCACTCCCCCCCACCCCCTTACTTGCAGTGTGCCTCACAGCTGATTTTTGGCCAGTTTGAGGCCTTTTTCGGCTTCCCAGAAGCTTCAGGAAGGCTTCTGCAGGCTTTTCAGGTCAAAAACTAGGCCCATTTAGTCACTTCCGGTATTTCCAGAAAAACAGCAAGTGACAAAACGGGCCTAGTTTTGGGCCTGAAAAACCTGGAAAGCCTTCCTCAAACCTCTGCGAGGCTGAAAAAGGCCTCAAACTGGCCAAAAATTAGCTGTGAGGCGTGTGCACGTGCAATGAGATAAGTTTGTCTGTAGCTTCCATGCTGGGACAAATGGCTCTCCATGCCACCTGCGGCACGCATGCCATAGGTTCGCCATCATGGAGCTAGACTATCCTGGGGTCATCAGCTCACCAACATCTGACAAGAAAAGTCAATGGGGGAAGCTGGATTCACTTAAAAAACACATTTCACTCAATAACTGCAGTGACTTGCTTAACAACCGTGGCAAAAAAAATTGTAAAATTGGGCACATTTAAAAACTGCCTTGCTTAGCAATGGAAATTTGTATTCTAACTGTGGTCATAAATTGAGGATTACTTGAATTCTGTATGTTAGTGTCAAAACATCTGAGTCTGTGAATACCATAAACTCAAAGCATAAACTAAATCACTATTTTTTTTTGGGGGGGGGGGGGTTGCAACGGTGTGTTAACACATTAACATGGCAAAAGCCCATTGAAAGCCAATTCATCTTATATAAACTGCCTACCCCTATTGTTAGAAATCTTCCCCCAGCAAATTCATTCTCTCTTGTGGGTATAGGATTCAGGTTTTGGAAAAATCAGGTCTAAGGCAGCCAGGATTCGTAACTCAGATAAAAAATTTTTTTAGTTCATACCAAGAAGACAACGTATGCATAAAAAGAACCAGGTACAGCTAGTCTAGGGAGTCCCACTAGAGTGGATATTTGCATGGGAAGTAAGCTGCCTGCTTCACTGAAGTTCTCCCTGAAGTCTACACATTTATAAGGGTTTTTCTCCTGTCTGAATATTCTATGTGAAGCAAGGGTGCTGCTCTTGCCAGATGTCCGTTCATTCATACGGCTTCTTCCCCCGTGTGGATCCTTTTATGGGAAGTGAGTTCATTGCTCCTCTTGAAGGTATTCCCACATTCTCTGCATTGGTAGGGTTTCTCTCCTGTATGGATGGTTTTATGGGAAATGAGGTGGCTGCTTTGACGGAAGCTTTTCCCGCACTCTGCACATTTAAACGGCTTTTCCCCTGTGTGGATTCTCTTATGGCAGGTAAGCTGGCTGTTCCATCTGAAGTTCTTTCCACATTTCATACATTTATATGGTCTCTTGCCTAAGTGAATCGTTTTATGGGAAGTAAGTTCACTACTTTCCCCGAAACTTTCCCCACTCTCTACGCATTGATATGGATTCTCACCAGAGTGAATCCTTTTGTGGGAAGTAAGCTGAGTACTCCAAGAGAAGCATTTTCCACACTCTGTACATATGTATGGTCTCTCCCTCGGGTGGATATTCCTATGGGACGTGAGCTCAGTGCTGCTCCTGAAGGCCTTTCCACATTCCAGGCATTTGTGTAATTCTTCTAGTGCGTGGATCCGTTTATGGGAAGAAAGCTCACGGCTGCCTCTAAAGCTCTTCCCACACTCTATGCATTTGTATGGCTTCTCTCCCGTGTGGATCGTTTTATGGGAAGCGAGCTGATAGCTCCAGAAGAAGTTCTTCCCACACTCCATACATTTGTATGGTTTTTCTCCCGAGTGGAGTCTTTTATGGTAAGCAAGCTGGCTGTTTCTCCTGAAGGTCCTCCCACATTCTGTGCATTTATAAGGTTTTTCTCCTGTGTGGACCCTCCTGTGGGAGGTCAGCTCACTGCTTCCTCTGAAACCCCTCCCACACTCCACGCATTTATAAGGCCTCTCCCCGGTGTGGATCCTCCTGTGGGAAGTCAGTTCGCTGCTCCTCCTGAAGCTCTTCCCACACTCCGGGCATTGATAGGGTTTCTCTCCTGTGTGGATCATTTTGTGGGAAGTAAGCTGATAGCTCCAGAGGAAGTTCTTTCCACACTCCATGCATTTGTACGGTTTTTCTCCCGCATGGAGTCTTTTATGGTAAGCCAGCTGACTATTCCTCCTAAAGTTCCTCCCACACTCGGAACACTTAAAAAGTTTTTCCCCTGTGTGGATCCTTTTATGGTAAGTCAGGTCATTGTTCCAGCTGAAACTCTTCCCACACTCCAGGCACTTATAGGGTTTCTCCCCTGTGTGGATCCTCCTGTGGGAAGTAACCTGGCTGCTGCTCCTGAAGTTCTTCCCGCACTCTCTGCATTTGTAGGGTTTCTCCCCCATGTTGATTCTATCACGTAACGAAAGAATGAAGGTCCAGCTGTAACTTTTTTCATCTTCCCTGTTCTGATGAGCTTCTTCTTTAGTGTGGGTTCGATCATGTTCATTTAAATCTGATTTTTCTCTGAATGTTTTCGCACTTTTCCCAAAACACCTTGTCCTTTTTCCTTTGGAAAGGTGCAGGGCTGCTCTGTCTTGAATTTCATCACATTGAAGAGCAGAAAACTTTCTGCTTCCATCCTTTGACCGGTTTCTCTCATGACTTTTTAGTTCCGTTTGGTTTCTTCCTTCTTTGCGTCTGAGAGCTTCTAGTATTTGCCTACAGCACACGTTCTCTTGCCCAACAGTATCTTCAGAGAGAAAGAAAAAAAGTGTGGGTTTAAACTAACAGAAAGGGGATAAAATCACCAAGAACATGTGACATAATTGAGAATCCCAATTCTGCAAATCCCAAAAACCTCAGTAATATTTTTATAGGCTATTCTGACCTACGTAAAACAATCTGACTTAAAGCTTATTAAATTTAGAGACCTGGTGCAGGTTCCTATCAATTTTATTGATATAAATTTGCACGGGATGGAAATTTAAATTTCACAGGCTGTAGAAACAATTTTAAAAGCCATTTATCTAAAACAATTCCGCACATTGGGTTAGTATATTTGCCTCTTGCTATCAATGATTTTTTCTTTATTCTGCACTAGATATCTTTTCCCACACATTCTCTTCTTGTTTCAGATGAGAAAAAATCTGAAATCTTCACTCAATGTATGTTTCCAGGGCAAACAAAGTACTGTTCAATATGTGGTGTCAACCTGGGTTTTACTTTCATTACAAAAAACACTTTCCCAGGAAAACTAAAACTCTCAGCTCAGCCATAAAACACCAAGAAGGCCAAGTAATGTTTTTATCAATCAAGAAAAGATCCTGAGAAGCAGGTAGAGCTCTGCACAGCAGAAGATAGTAACCCCCTAGGACCGGGGTAAGGAAACTTGGTTTTAATCACTTATGGACTTCAACTCCCAGAATTCCTGAGTGAGCCATAAAAGATTCCTCATTCCTGGACTACCAGTTTTTCAGTTGTGGGGAAAATCCAATTTTTTACTTGAATGGGACTGTTTATATACAAATGTAGGACATGTTGTGCTACAAAAAAGTATTTCTTTGATCTATTAAAAAACTATGTCCAGCCCCATAACCTCATAGTTATGCCTGACTTCACTAGGCATATGATTTGCTGTATCCAGTTTGCTCTGTCCAATCACAAGGATCAGTTTTGATTAGTCAACAAAGGGAGGCTGCAATCCCTCCCCTTTAGAAGCCCACCTCTGCCTCCAGCACTGTCCCTCAATCACTGTATGCTTCAGCGTAAGGTGTTTTGGAACCAGTAAAGGAGATTTTTTGTATTTTCTCCTTCTCCCAGATATAAGGTGTGGTTCAGTGGTGGGATTCAAATTTTTTTACTACCGGTTCTGTGGGCATGGCTTGGTGGGCATGGCAGGGGAAGGTTACTGTAAAATCCCATTCCCTCCCCACCCCACTAACCTGCTTTCCAGCTCCATTCGCCTGTGCAGGGCAACAAAAGAAGATCCAACCAATCAGGTGGGACTCGGGAGGCAGAGAATAGGTGGGGAAGGGGCCAGTCAGAGGTGAGATTGGCCGGTTCTTCAAACTACTCAAAATTTCCGCTACCGGTTCTCCAGAACTGGTCAGAACCTGTTGAATACCACCTCTGGTGTGGTTGGCTTTAGGCCAGAGAGCTGGTTCCACAAAATGCCTTTTCTACCTGCCTGTGCCCTTACCCAGGGAGGCCACATTCCTCAGGTTCTCCCTCATGACTTCCCCGTGGAGGGCTTTTTGGTGGGGATTCAGCTGAGTCCACTCTTCCTTGGAGAAACACACAGCCACCTCCTCAAAGGATACAAGACCCTGGAAAAGGAAGGGGAAAAAAAATTTTCTCCATTAGTAATCCAGGAAGGTTTTGCATCTCATACCCTTTGTTCAACAAATTCCCCAAGCAAAGATTGGGTATGGATTATTGTCTAAGAGAAAAGAATATATGTAGCTCAGTGCTGAGCCGAGCCGTTTGCTAGCAGTCATTTCATTACCTGGCTAGACAACATTATCAACACAAGTGAGTGAGGTTTTCTATCTGTTTTTATACAGTTGCTTGCCTGGCCAGTGTTGGATGGTGGAGGGGGATGGTTTCCTCTTGACAGCTCCTGAATTACAGTATTGTTTTCTGATTGTTTGTCTGGTATGATTTATTAACCCAAATTATAAATATTTACTATTAAGGCGACTGGGCAGTTTACAGATAAGAAACTATGCAATCCATACAAAAAAGACAAGATCAAAGAGTTAAAAAGAGGGAGGGAACATCCTTTAGCCACCAACCACCCCCAGGGTTGGATCCCTGTGCCAGTTGATAAGAGCAAGCATGACTTGAAAGGGATCTCCTAGTTAATTCTGCCACATTCCATTTCAGGCTGCTTAAAGAGCAATAATGCTGTTGAGTCCCGGGGAAAAGGGGACCCCAAGTGATCCCCTAAATGTTTCTCTCCTACCTGAACTGGAGGTTCAGCCATTCTTTCAGTTCCACCAGGAAAAGGTGACGATCCTAGAAACAGCAAGGGCATAATTTGATTTCCTGCATGGGACTTTCACTGAGCTAAAGCAGAATTTCAAATATTACGTGAAGAACTAAAGACCATATCAGAGCATTGAGACATTTCTTGAGAATGTCAGGTTCCTTTGAAAGACTCCCTTTACCTCCTGAGATGTCCCAACCTGGATCTTCTTGGGGGATCTCCCTGAAAGGCAGCCCTTGAGAGGCATCTGACAGATCCTTGCTCCTTTTAGGATGCCTCGGGATGGCTTCCAGAAAGGGCTGCTGCATCTGACATACCTAGAGATGGAAAAGAGAAGTGAAGGTTTAGATAAAACCTCTCAAATTTGCTGATGCAGATAGAACAATGGAGCAAGTGCCCCAAATACATATTCTGGTGGGAAAGTGGAGAAAATGCTCAATTCAAAGATATTCTCGATTAATGCATAGCTTCAGAGAGGGTGTTCTCTCACCTGCAGCTCTTCCTGCTGGTGCTTCTCCGCCTGGCTCAACAGGAAGCCTTCGGCCAGGGCCACTGCCTGGGCGCTGGTCTCCGCTCCACACTCCCGCACCCAGCTGGACATCTCTGCAGGAAGCACGGCCAGCAGCTGCTCCAGGATCACCAGGTCCAGCATCTGTGCCTTGGTCTTCTTCTCTGGCTGCAGCCAATCCTGGCAGAGCTGATAGAGGCGGCTGCACATCTCCCGCGGGCTCCTGCCCCAAATGTCCAACGGCAAGAGGCCAACCTTCTCCCTGGTGGTTTCCCGCAAGGCGTCCCGCAGCTCCTCCACCTTCTCCCAGAGGGCTTCCTTCAGGGAGGAGTTCTGCAGGGCGCTCCTCAGGGAGTCCACCTGGGCCAGCAGCTCCTCCGCCTGCATCAGCGTGTCTGACCAGAAAGCCAGCGCCTGCGTCTCCAGGGCCGCCGCTTTCTCCCACAGGACATGTGCCTCCTTCACAGGCGCCTCCTGGGCAGCTCTTTGCAGGGCTGCCTCCCCCTGCCCCAGGGGCACCTGCCGGAGGGTCCGGCGAAAGGCTTCGGCTTCTCTCCGGGCCGCCTCAGCCTCCTCCAGGCGGCCTGCCCACAAGCCCTTCTCCAGGCAGGCCACCTCCCAGCAGTCCGTCTTCCGCAGCAGTGCCTCGGCCTTTTCTAGCATCGGCTGCAGCTCTTCCAATGACGCCTCCTGCAGGCCGGTGTGCAGCCCCTCCAGCTCCCTCCGCAGCGCCTCGGCGCTCTCGGCCCAGCCTTCTTCTTCCAGGGCCTCCCGCAGGGCCAGCAGCTGCCGGGCCCGGATGCGCCCTTCCTTCCGCACCGCCTGGCCCAAATCCCGTAGGCTCTCCCACAGCTGGTCGTCCAGGAACGTCGCCAGGGCCCCTTCCAGCTTCCGCGCGGCGCGCACCGGCCGCCCCCGGCCCTCGGCCGCCTCCAGCTCTGCCACCACGCCCAGGAGCGCCTCCCGTACAGCCGCCACTTTCTCCACTGAAGTGGTGGGTGCGGCTGCTGGCTCGGCCGGCACCGGCTGCTCTTTGTCCTCGCTCGGCGCCGCCTCCTCCTCCTTGGCCAGGGCCGGCGGTGCTGCAGACCTCTCGCCGCCCGCGGCAGACGCGGCCACTCCACTCGTACCGCCGACGGGCTTTCTCCGTCGGGCCCGCCGGGCCGCCTCGCGCTCGCCGCGCGCCTGGAACCAGCGGAGCAGCGCCATCTCCAGCCTCAGGAAACCCTGGAGCCGCTGCTGCTCCGCCTCCGAGAGCGCCGCGTCCCGGGCCAGCAGGGTGTCCCTGCCTCGGCGGGCCTCGCTCAGCTGCGCCCGGAACCGCTGTAGGTTCGGCTGGCCCAGGTTGACCTCCCAGCGCCAACGCGCCCGCACCGCTTCCGACACCCGCTCCGCCAGCAGAGCCTCCACCTCGGCCAGCCGCTCCGGGGAAACCTCCGCCGCCGCGACCCCCGGAGCCGCCATCACCGCCGCTGCTGAGCGCCCCTGCCTCCCAATCGCTCCGGCCGCAGGAGCGCGCACGGCGACCCTGCTTAGCGACGGAAGCGGTTGCCCCGCCCATCCGCCGATCCCGCGCTCTGCCTTTTGCCTTCCGCCCCGTTCCCTCAACAGCCGCTTTCCGAGACTTCAACTCCCAGAATTCCCCCGTCAGCCTCCCGAGGGCCTCTCGCCCCGCCTCCCGAGTCTTCTGAACGCGCCGACAAGCGAATAAAAGCCTCCAGTGGTGCTGCTTCCCGGCGCCGCCGTTCCCGTAATGAAGGCTACTCAGGAACCTTCTACTACATCTCTCGGCAGTCGAAATAGCGACCCAAACGGACTGCTTTCATCTGCCCAGCCTGAGAAACCGACTAATCTGAAATAAAAGAGCCCCGGTGGTTCGTCCCTCATCCCGATTCGGTTCGGGCGATTCTCCTCACGGGGCGTCCGTCCCCTTCCCGCCCGTTTCTTCTTCCGCACTTCTGGGCGCCTAGGTAAAGTTTCGGGCCAATTTTACCTCAGGAAAGAATTTAGTATTATCCTGCCTCCCCTTCTCAAATCATCGCCTGAGGTAATCTCTCATTCTATTCTATTCTGAGGTAACCTGAGGTAAAAACAAAAAGCAGGAAACCTTATAGAGGTCAAATATGGCATTACAGGACATACACAGCATAGGAGGTAACTAAAGTTGGTTAAATGAGGTGTTATTATCAGCTTGAAGCAGGCCAAAGAGGTAGAAGGGGGAACAGCCAAGTTAAGCTCCGAGCCAGGAATCAAATTAGCCTTTATCTCATTTGACAGGGATGCCCTCTAATAAGAATAATAATCCTTTATCTGTTAATTCCTACCCCTTTACTTCAACCAACCTTCCTGCCTCGCCTCCCCACACCCTCTAATAGTAACCGTTCCTGGCAGAAGGCGGGGCTTCATTGTGCTGCGCTGATTGGCAGTTCCCCGACCCAATCACTAACTGAGGATGGCAGCATCTGTCAGACTCAATTTCTGTGATTGACCTGGGGGAGAGGGGGACCAGGAGGGTGTGGTTGACTGACTGACTGGGTATGGCCAGCTTGACCCCATCTCCAAACTGCTGGCCTGTTTCCTTGGGGTGACTCTGGGTTTGGCACCTAGTTTCCCAAGATGAGAAGCTCGACAGAATGCCAACCCTTGTATGGAGACCGTCTTGTCAGGATCCAGGTAGTGTGCTGTCTCAAGGAATATCTGCATAGGTCACATTGCAGGAGAGACACTGGCCCGTTTTGCTCACAAACGGAAAATGGCGATCTACTCTGGGGAAGCAAAATATTTTCTCTGCATTTGCACTTCCCCGGGGAGTTTGTGTGACCCCTGCAGAATGAGATGGTTATCGGGAAGGTTTCAACCTCCCAGCTTTGCAGTTTCCTTTCCCTTCAACTGGAGGCTTCATTGATCTACTTAGCAACGGAAATTCTGGACCCAATCATGGCCGTTAAGTCGAGGTCCACCTGTACTGTGCTAATGGAGGTCACACCTCTGTGCAGGACAGTAGCACAGTATGGGTGGACCTCGACTTATGGCCATGATAGAGTGCAGAATTTCCAATGCTAAGCAAGACAGTCATTAAGTGAGTTGTGCCTAATTGCACAACCTCTTGTCAACATGCCTTTGAGAAGATTTTGTGTCTTCCTTTGGCTGTTTCACAATTTTTTAAAAAGTCTGCATTTTTCACCTTTCTAGCATTTATAATTGCATTGATACCAATTGTGTTGTACATCACCCTGAGTGATACAGATATGGAGTGCGAAAGAATTTAAACATAGGAAAATTCTTGAACTCTGCATCATGAAACTTCTTACGTCTCCATCTGGGCTGCCAGAAAAACCATGCTCAGCACTGCTGTCAGCCAAATGTGCCAGGACCATAAACACAGAATTAAGGCACAAACTGATCAATCAATCAATCAGAATAGAGCTGGAAGGGACATAGGAAGTCTTCTTGCCCAACCCCTGCTCAATCTGGCAAGAGATTTTTAGAAAGAAGTTGTATCGAAGACTAACAGAGCAATAATATCTGGTTACTCGATATGAGAAATTATGACAGACTGATCTCCATGTGGGAATTCTCAGCAGGGAAGCAAGACCAGGACTCCGTCAGATGCAACTTCAGCACTCCAGGACATGAAGGCTCCTCGTTCCTTCTCGTGAGCAGCCAGATGCCTCTTAGGCTGCTGCTCGTTATGGAACCTCTTTGTCCACTGTGAGGATGGAGGCAATGTTGGTCCTCCATGGAGCTTTTGGTGTCTCACCCAATTCCTCTTCTGGTTGAAGATCTTGTCACACTTGGTGCAAGAGAAGGGCTTTTCCGCTGTATGCCTCCTCTGGTGCCGCAGAAGGTGCTGCTTGTAGTAAAAGCTCTTCCCGCACTTGGGAAAGCTGTGGGGCTTCTCCCCTGTGTGGATCCTCCAGTGGAATATGAGGTTGAAGCTGTGGTGAAAGCTCTTCCTGCACTCGGGGCAGCAAAAGGGCCTCTCGCTCGTGTGGATTCCCTCGTGGGAGGCCAGCTGTGAGCGTCGGATGAAAGTCTTGCCACAGGTTAGGCACTTGTGGGGCTTGTCCTTGGAATGGATGAGCTGGTGGAGGTTGAAGCTCTTACTGCAGACAGGGCACCGGAAGGGCTTCTTACCTGTGTGCTTCCTCTGGTGGCAGGTCAGGTTGGTGCTTCGGTTGAAATGCTTCCCACACTTGGGGCAGTGGAAGGGCTTCTCTCCATGTGCCAAGGTCCGTGTGGCCATCCAGGGAACTGTAAGGGTATGGCCCGCCTCACTTCATTTCGGCCCACGCTGTCTCGCATGTGTGTGCACATACAAACTCAGTTCTTCATCACCACGTGCAGGGCAACCAAAGGAGTCTGTGGGAGAAGTTAGTAAAAAGTTAGTTCAGACCTTTCAACCTCGCGAGATTTTTTTTTTGTGAGCAGTTGGAAGGTCTGAACTATCTTTTTTATCGTAGTCCCACAGACGACTTTAGTTGCCTTGCACGTTGCAATGGAGAATGGAGCTGGAAAGCAGATTAGTGAAGGGATGTGGCTGTCCTGGGTGGGGGGGTGGGGGTTGAGGGTTTGGCATGGGTGGCCTGGCTGAAGGGCCCTCAGGTAAGCCAGTGGGTGGTGGGTGGGGCAGCTCCACACCCCCTGCCTTGCTTTGTCCCCCACACACACCCTGGCCTCGCTTTGATCTCTGTTCTTCGGCACTTCTTCTCCTTGCTTGCCGCTGTAACCTGGCAGGAGGCTGAGCAGCACATTGATATGGCAGCCACGAAGCAAGGTGGTGACCTGCAGAGCTGCCCCCCACATCCCACACCGGTTTACCTGAGCACACCACCAACCAGGTACTGAAGCCCAACTGCTATCACAGCGAGGCAGAGAGAGAAAGAGAGGGGGGGAGGGAGAAAGAAAGAGTAGGGAGGGAGGGGAAGAGGGGGAGAGAGAGTGAGAGGAAGAGAGGGAGAAGGGACAGAGGAGGGAGGGAGAGAGGGAGAGAGAGAGAGATGGAGGGAGGGAGGCTCTCCAAACTCTGGTGCGTGCGTGCGTGCGTTTGTGTGTGTGTATGAGAGAGAGAGCGCAATTCGTGCTTCAGCAGAGGCAGCCAAGCAGGAGCCACCAGGATTCCCCCCCTCCCCGCAAGCAACCAATCCCGTGTTCTTCTCATCCTCATCGTCTCTCCGCTGAAGCAGCTTCAGAATCCGCAGGACAGGGTTTCATTCGCCGGGATGCAGCCGGCCTCCGGGTGCCCTTTTTTGGCTGCCAGGATGGGGCTGCAGGGAGGCCCTCGGAGGCAGTTTGGGAACCCAAAGGGACATCTAATCCACCCCTCCATGCCCACAGAGGAAAGTCTAGCTGAGAATCATGAAGAGAACAAAGAAAATGGAGGGTCCCCGCAGGGCCTGCCCTGAACCCCCTTTAGTTGCAGCCCCCCAAGACTGAAGGGGTCCCCCATGCCACTTTTGCTTTCTGCCCCCCACTCTCCTCCTCCTTCAGGTCACAAAGGACTTTGCCTAGAGACTGATGATGCTGCAGCAGAAAGAATTCCCATTGGTCCTTCAGCTCGTTCTGGCCCCGCCCAGGTGAAAAGTCCGAGAAAAACGTTTCCCTCACCCCCGTTCCTCCACTGGGGCTTGAAGCATCTGGCCGGGACAGACAGACAGGCAGACAGACAGACACACACCTCCCTCTCTCTCTATTCTGCCATAGGAAGAGCTGCCGCACTGGATGATGGGGGTTGGTATCCCCACAGCCAGAGAGAAGTTGGGGGTCACCCACAGACACACACCACCCCCAATCCGAAGGGAAGCCCTGGAAAAACCTCAGCTAAACCAGGGAGAGGCGCCGCTTCCCTTCAAGAGATTAAAAAAAGGCATTTCTTTCTTTGAAATACGTGTCTCTCTTCCTCAGAACACATATATATATAAAGTAAAATGTTGGCAGAAATTTCGCCCGTGTAAAAGGGCAGATCTGGAGCAAAGCGGCGCCTGGCTGGGCTTGGAGGACAGAAGAAACTTTGGCTCGCGCCTAAGAAGCCCGGATGGCCGCGGCAGTTGCCAGAGGCGGCGGAGGACACCCGGAATGCGGCCTCCCCGTAGAGAGCCGGCCAGTGGGGAAAGAGGGGCTGGAGAGGATCGGGGGATGGAGTGAAGGGCCTTTCTGAGGGGAACCCTGGGAAGCTGCGACTTTAGCCCTGACCGCCTTCTAAGAGGACGAAATGACCCCAAAAGGAGCCTCCGGATCACCAGACGTGGCGAAAAAGGCACGAAAATCCTTGGCTCATCCAGCTCCTTTCCCGGCTGCCCCAGGAGAGGATTTTGGTTCATATAAAAGAGGGCAAAGAAC